GAAGGGAAAGGGTTTAAAAAATCCCTCTAGACAGAACACTTGCCACACGAAAGTTGCAAAAAATAATGATATAATGATAATAATATTTATCTACAAATAAGAACTATGCTGCAAATTTGTAATAAGGTATTAATACTTTCATACATTTAGAACAATAATTTCAAAGGATCTTCATGCCCTAAGTACAGACTATGCTATAAGTACTCAACAATAACGTTGTTAACTGCGATTAACTTATTTCACTAGTGTGAATAGTTAAGCAAATGTAAATACAAAACGCTTTGCGTATATTTGGAGGCAAAATACTCTTCTTTGAGAAGAATTTCCAGAATTTTCGATTAAATCATTCCTATTCAATAAAGGTATGCGAAAAGCAGAAAATTGAATGTCCGAACAATCGTTTACTGTTCCGGATTCAAGGACAAAGTGATAAGTGATAAAAAGCATACACTCCAAACCATTGCAATGATTGAAGCATGCTCACATCAAATCTGAGCAACTAAGAGGAATTAATAGGAACAGGTCTGCTCTAATAGATGAAAATCTCTTTAGAAGAGACTAATTGGTGCCTCACATATTCAATCTCCTGAGGGATTCGGATAGGAATGTGAAGAGAGGAAATGCTACAAGTATTTGTTAAAAGTTTAGAGCACATTCAAAATATTCGAAGATGTATAAAAGGTATACAAAGAATATAACTAGTCAAATAGAGGTATGATTCTTCCAAGATAGAACAATTAAGTGAAGAATACAGGATAAAGAGAGGGTAGACCTGAGGAAAACGTTAACGACAAAAATACACGGATAGTGTGAATGAGTGGGTGGAATTGAGAAGAATGCAACGAAATATTGAAATAAAATAGACAGATAAGAGGAAATAAAAATCCCATAATACATATTAAAGAAAAAAGAACAACAGATTCTTTAGATAATGACTACTCTAATTTTTACGAGTATTCTCACATCACGAATAAACCAGTGCTTTATGGCGGCGTACAGTAAGAAAACGAAAGAGGCAAGTCGGTATTGAGCTGACCCTGTTGTGCTTGGAAGACTTGGACGAGTCCATAGTTTGGCCACCGAACCTGGTAGGCTCGATCAGTGGCTGCTGTCCCAGTAGAGGGATCTGGTACGCAGCCATCACAGGCGAAGTCACATTTCGTCGTGCACCTGGTACAAAGGGACTGAGGCTCTCGGGGCTCGATACTCGGACAGTAGAATCTAGCATCTTAACATCATGCACCATAAATTGGGCCCCTAATGACCTCTCTGCGAAATCTGTGTCCATGAGAGGATGATCGAGAGAATACATTTGAGTGTTGTTATGGGGTGGGGTAGATTTGGCCAGATCAGCAAGCTGTGAATCATTGAAGGAGACAAGAACACTGGGTCAAGTGCTGAATCTAATAAGGGAATAGTTATATCCTGGATCGATCTCATTCGCTAGTGGTAAAACAGACTCCTCTTTAAAAAATTCAGGTATTTCCTGCAAATTAAGTTAGCTTTTAAGAATCCCAAAGCATTTCCACAGGAAATAATGAATACTTTCATGAATGATAGCCCCTTCTGCACCAGCTTTTCCCCCAAAACGATTTGGGTATCGGAGCAAAAGGTGACATAAGCATGCCTTGTCCTCCCTGTTTCTCTACTTTTGCAAAACCTATTTCAGCGGAGGAGAGAGCGATGCTATGATCAGCAGTGTCAGCCTCAGTTAGGCCCTAAGCCTATCCAATCGAAGCGACTACCTCGCGAAGAGATTGAGCTAAGATTGGGATGGAAGTACGAAAAAGGGCGCCTGATGATAAGCCTGCAGCGCTAGGAAGATGAAAGCAAGAGTACAGAAATCCTGTGGATTGTTGTACCGAGAGAACAAGGACATCAAGTTTGCCTTTGACGGCGGTTAAATTTATGGCAGAAGTGGCATCGATGGCTGAACAAATTGTTTTTATTTTAACCATCCTTAGAAGCAGCAGTTTCCGGTTAATTGTATGGGCTAAACTAGGCGTCAGAACAGCCAGGATCAGCTCGAGGCTAGATGAGACCCTCCGGTCGGGTGACTTAAGGTATTGAAGACAAAAATACGTACAGATAAATACCATATATGAATACTCTTGTGCAGTCACATACGAATAGAAAAATGAGCACTTCCATAAGAGAGCATAAGAGCCTGATAAAATTTGAACAACATCATGGCCCTATGAGGAATTTACAACTAGTAAATAAACAATTTCTCCATTTTAAGCTTGTCCTGGCAATTAGCTATCTATGTCAATCTAAAACCAGAAA